GGGAACGGGACTCGTCACCCGTTTGCCCAGTGTCCCACTGCTTTAGATCGAATTAGATCGAAGTTTCACCTACCCTACAAAACAAACACAGTGTCTCCAATCACCTGAGAAGCTACTTGGATCCCAAGGGGCTCAAAAATGGAGCTCCAAGACCTTTGCATTTTAGCCGCGCTCCGAAGCCCGTGACTCTGAGGCTGTGTCGACTCCGCGACTCACTTGGTCGGTGGGGGCGGCCCGAAACCGCGCGGGGAGCGACGCGCGGAGCGATCGCGGCCAATGACTGGAGGAGACGATGACTGGGAAGGAGACAAGGGGAGGATGACTGGGGAGGGAGTGAGTGGAAAACCTCCCTTCCCCACTCAAAGTGAAGAGGTGGTTCCAGCTGTTTGTGCTGACACGACCAGTGTGTCTGCGGCACGGCAAGCGACTGACTTGCTTGATTAAGAGGTGGAAAGTTTGACCATGATTTTTCGAGGGAGTCAGTACTCCAGTATAGGCCATTAGGTTGGATCTGGATCAAAGCTTCTTTATTGGCGGGTTTTGTCAGAAGACAATTAGAGGGAACCAAAACCAGATGCCAAAACAAAGTCAGAGGGGATTTTGGAGATAGACATGTTTCTATCCACTTGGCTGTCAACCTGTGCACAACTAGCCTCATGCAATTTCACATCACATAACGTATTGGCCATCTTACGCAGCCTTCGTATACTAACTGTCTCCCTCTTTGCAACCTTGCTTGGCCACCTGCTCACCCAGCTCCCGCCCTGGACCTCAGGTCCACCGCACCGGTGACCCCGCTGACTCCAGGTTTGCCACGCCGGCGTCTTCCTGGCCGCTCCCCGGTGCGCGGCGCCCGCCTTAGAGGCCCAGCACCCCGGCGACTTCGCGGCGTTCTCCGGTCGTTTGGGGCTTCGTTCCTGTACCCCGGGGAGGACTGGATGAGCAGGATGCTGCAGGTCAGACTGAACGACTGGGTGAACGAGTTGTGTGGTACGTGGTTGGTCCCTTCCCACCTTCTCCCCACGTTCGCGGCGGAGTTGGGAGGCCCACCCTTCCGGGGCAAAAAAACGGGCGGAGTGAGAGGATCAAAGGCTGGATGGATCAGGTGGACGCCGGAAGCAAGCTTGGACCAGCTGAGGGTCGATGGGACTGGCCGGGCTTGGCGCCACCCAGCCATGCCGCGTCCCAACACCCACATGTTTTGCAGCTGATCAGTTTGGTAGAGATGAAACATGATGAAAGTCACACAGATACTTAATACTTCAGTACATGATCTACAAAGTACAATGCAACTCATAGTAGCAACTAGACTTACTAGCGCAGCACCAAAATATGCTTCGTCCGTTCCAGGCGAAACAGAGGCTCTTCCCCAGCCCGACGCTCCGTCAAGTGGAGAGCAATCCCAACAGATACCCAGCCCGAGGTCAGCCCGTGAGGTTCAGCCGAGGACCGTCCGTCTCCGGACGTCCGACTCCTGGGCCCCGACTCGCAACCCCATGGTTTTGGGGTGGAAATGGGACACACCTTCGAAAGAGGGAAAACTTCCTCCCAAAACCCCAAAAAAACATGGTAAAACATGGGACATCATCACCATTCATCACCCAGAAGCCTCCCTCTCTTTTTTTTTCAAATTTGCAACCCTTTGGAAATAGGAAACCTTCGGCGACATCTCCTTCCTGGGCGTCCACCTGGGCGTGTGGCAAGGTGCCCAAGGCGCGCACAGCTCGCATCGGTCGCACAGATCGCCGACCGACCTCGACTCGGTGAAGCCTACGTGACAAGGACGGAGAAATAGAGGCCTCTACCTCTCTACCAAAGCATAAAATAAATTGGTTGTTTAAGGATGTGTGAACTGATTTTGGTTCAATTCCACATGGTCTCGTGTCAAGACATCCTTTCTTGAACGTAGCCGCTTGAAGTGCTGAAGCTCCCGTGCAGCGCGTGGGATCTGAAGAAGCTTCGCTCGACTTCCAGGCATGGCCATTGGCGCCCGAGCCCAGTCGGTGGGCGTGGACTTCTACGAGATGTCCGGAGCGCTCAGCTGAGCTTCGAAAGCACCACAGTCGTCCGAAGCCAGCAATACTGACTGGTTAAGTAAGGAATGGACGTCCATCCATATTCCCGCGGGTGTTCCCATATTTTCCCACTTCCTAGTTTTCACAGCAAAAGCTCTTCATGGAGCCCAGAACAACTGCCCAAAGAATCCTTGCCCTCAAACACATAGGGTTTGGTTCTAGGACATTCTAGGGTGTGTACCGTGACAAGGGGCACTCCCTATAACCACCACAGCCTGGGATTTGAGCTAAGACCCATTGACCCAGTGGTCAACTCAGTTGGTAGCAACCCTGCAGACGAAACAAGCCTTGCCGCCTTGCTCAGCAGAGTGGTTGAAGGTTGTCATTCCCCCTTTGAGGGTTGTGGATTTAACCCTTTGAAGTCTATTTCAGACAAAGGTGACAAGGGTCAAAAAGCACATAAGACTGCCTTCACCTTTCATGTTATGTGGCGGGTGGTTCACTTGTAGAATTGCTTCAAACACAGTGAACCCCCCTCCCGAATTCCAGCTCTCAGAAGAAGAAAAGAAGACCACACACAGGTGACAGTTCCGTACGTTCAACAAGCTTAGTGATGCCCTGGATCCGAGACCCACATTGGAACATCAAAAATCCCTGCTTTGTAGAGGAGCCATGCGGTCCTTCTGGTAGAGCGGGTAACCCGGTTCGGTCGCGTTCGGGTGTGACAGTTCCGCTCCGTTCAAAGGGAGACTTGGGACGATGAGGACGTCTTTGGGGTGAAACAATGAGCCTTTGGGACCCCAAATCGCCCCAAAGGCGACCCCAAAGGCGACCCGTGGCAGGACCCGTGACCCGTGACCGTCCGTGACATTGACCCGCACCAAAAACCCGGGTGAGGAGCGAAACAGCATGGTTCGCAGATGGTGGAGGGGGTCCGAACGGATCGCCTCTGGGGAGGGATGCTGTACCCCGTCTCATGTCTCGTCGAAGGGATCACCGTAGCTCAGGTTCGGTATGACTGGATCCGTAGAGTGGACGAATCATGGTACAAGCCTGGAGTAGAAAACGACCTGTTTGAGGAGAATGATCTTCCCAGGGCCGAAGTGTCATGGTTCACTTCCGTGATGATTTCAGGGAGTGTCTAATATTCCATCCAGGTCAACCTTGTCCTTGGTGCCGCTGGTGCTGCCAGAGGAGAAGAGACATCAAGAGACTGGTTAAACCAAACATCAAGGGTTTTAGCTGACAGTTAGGGTTCCAGGCAAACGGAGAGATTCATTTCAGGAATTTTGGCTTGTTGGGTGCTTCTGTCTGTGCGGTTTCTGTTGAGATTCACATGCTTTTTCTGACAAAAAGATCACAGCTGGCGACAAACCTCCAGCAGGTTGCGGAACAGCACCTGGTTGTGGCAAAGTCGTTCTTTCTGTGTCCTGGCAGGAGAATTTCATTCATTTCTCCATGCGGATGTCTCAAGCAGAGAGGCCCGAAACATGAAGCTTCGAAGCTAGTTTGGTCAAAGCCAAGCACGCAAAAAGGCCCAGGAGCCTTTTGAACCACAGTGACGATTGAAAGCTCTTGCAGAAATGTCAATATTCTCAAGCATTTTTGTCCAGAATCAGATTCTGAGCGCAATTCCGCATGAAGTCGTATAAGGAGGCCATTCCGCCATCGCTTCTAGGTCGGAGGCCATTGCTCTTATTTTTGAGGCCCTTTCAAAAGAATGGAGTCGGACCACTTGTTCCTGACCAAGGGACTGTACCAGTGACACTACCAGTGACTACACTCCCTGGATCTCGTGTTCTCCCTCAATCCTCAACACATCAACAGCTACTCTCCGCGCATCCGCGCCTCAACACACCGAGGTCCCGCGGATCCTCCCGGCTCTCTCCGCATCCGTCCTCCGCGCATCGCTCTCCAGGCCGGAGCACGTGGCCCTGCGCACCGGTGATCTGGCACGACGAGGTCAGACCCTCGCCACCCGGCGAAGCCAAGCGGAGAGAGCGCCCGAGTTCGCGCCGACGGACGTGGGGAAGAAGTCGGAAGAAGTTCTTGTGCAAGGTGGGTGGGAGTAAAAATTCACGAGTTTGGCAGGAAAGAAGCGACACATGAGTTTTTTGGGGGGCAGGATTCTTATCGGAATGGTTTGTCATGCATGTTTTGTGCGAGGGCTCCCTTCGGGAGACTTCCGGCAACCCGGATTAGGACGAGCTCCACAGTGCTAAGGGATGCTGCCCATCGACAAAAAAACATGAATCAGATGGACCGCGTGTCAAAGCCCAAAAGGCTCAGAAAGGACCCTCAGTTCGCTAGGGTTTTGACCCTCACAACTAGGGTTTTGGAATGTTGTGGACCTCAAAAGTTTGAGGGTCAATGAGCATCTGGAGTAGCGTCTGGGCAATAAAAATACGGAGAGTTCAGAGTTTGACGGGTTTAGCAGGTGTTTGCTTGTTGAAGTTGTTTAGTTGGTTGGGCTCACTTGGCATTCTTTCTCCCGGAGAGCCCAAGCAAACTGGCGACGATCAATCAATGTCAAACCCAGACAATTGAGCCAACCCCCGCAAACCTACACTATGGAAACCGCCTGACCAGCTCAGAACAGAGCTCTCTTCGTTCTATACATGAAATGTGGGAGCCAGTCTGTACTGTTTGCTTCACAACGCAGTTTTCCTGTTCAGCAATACCCTGAACTAGCAACCGGCTCTGCGGTTTGAGAATAGGGCCTTGATTTGCAGCTGCCTCGTCTCAAGCTCGAGATGGAATCAATGCAAGCACCACTTGATGTTGTGTCAGACATCAAAGCGACAGGAACAGGAATTTGTATGTACCAACAGAGGTTGAAGAACCCTATAGACTATCCCATAGGTACCTCAGTAAGGTCCTATAAGGTCACTCAACCTCTCTATATATATATATCACTTGTGGAAGCCCTCAAAGTCGCCACTGGCCACAACTCGATGAGTCCTTCCATGATGTGTCACTGGTTCAAAAGGGGTCCCAGATTGGCTTCTCCTTCACTGGGCGTATCTTTGTCCCATCATGGGGAACGCCGACAACAACGAGGACAACAGCCAGCCGGACAGTCCAGGCGAGAATAGAACCTCCCGGGTGTGTTCGTCCTTGCAAAGCAGACGTTACATCACAAAAACGAGTCCTGCGTGAGCTCTTTTGGGGCACCGGGAACCAAGAACCAACCGGATGCCATTTTTTCCATAATCACACAGACACGACCCGGACCTGGGACTACCATAATAGGACTGCCGAGAAAACGCCAGGGGTGGTTGGCTGGGGAGTCTGGGGCGGCAGTCCTATATGGTAGTCCCAAGAGAGGTATCCAGTGACCTGGACGTTCGGACCTTACTGAGGTACCTATGCTGGGATAGTCGAACGTTCGGGTTCTCTGTTGGTCCCAGACGTGTCGCGTTCGGGTCATGGGAACATCACCGACGAGGTCGTGTCCAGGACGCTGTCCCCGGGCATGGACCGTCACACGCCCCGCCCACGGTCAGTCTTCGTCGGTCAGAGCGGCGGAGGGGCTGCGGATGGGTTTTTGTCTAGAAACAGACTTATGTTATTAAGTACTTGTTTTAAATGCGTGTCGTGTTTTTTCTTGGTGTGTCGTTGTTTTTTGTGTTTATATTGTTTTTTCCGGTGTTCCTCCTCTTCTTCCGGTCCATTTACCAGGATCGGACTTGGAGTTGTTACACAGACCCAGATGGCCGTAATGGATGGATGTGCAACCTGAAAAATGGAGCCAAAGACATCACCAGTTCTGAGAATCTGCAATTGCGGCTAATCAACGAGAATTGCCCCGAAACAGTTGCTAGTTTGGATCATCGAATTGAATTCAACATTGCTCCATCTGAGCCCTGGACTCCCCACCTTCCCACCAATTCTATTCTGCAGGTGGAAGTGGTGGCAGTCGACTTCCCCTGCAGCTGGGACGTTTGCCCTCAGATCGATTGGAACGGGTGCACCAGGCGCGCGGACGCTGGAGGGCTTCGGTTCCTTTTCCGCCGTGAAAGCTGGAGGAAGCAGGGTCGGGGTCGACGGCGGTGTCCTACGGACTAACCGTTGACTTGTCGATTCTCCGTCGTCATTGGCAAAACCAAGAAGGACAGAAACTCGAAGATACACGAAAAGGAATTTGCGGTGCCATATGAACCCACCTGTTCTCGCAACGCTCCATCGAAATCCAACCCCATTGAAAAGAAAGGAGAAGCGGACAGTAGGAGGAAAGTAAACTCCCAGAACTACATGATCAGAAGACCAAGAAGACTAAGCACAACAGGACACAAAACAAACTGTTTTGTCATCTTTGCAGCTATATAATCATGGCCTCCTTCCCCCCCTCTGGTTCGCACTCAGAAGATGTGTGACAGAGGCCATGGAGGAACTTAAGGAGGCGGGGTTGACAGACATCAAAGACTTGGCGATCTTGGCTCAGAGCGTGAAGAAGGGCCACTCGGTTGTTTGTTCGATGAGCGTGGATTTCGTTCTCTTGGGGACCTGGGATTGGCACAACGGCACGATCACGCCCCGGCGTGTGGGGTGTTTTCCGCTGAACCAGCAATGTGTTACGGTGAAACGCCCACAAAGCAGCATGCGTTCCGCGCATCCAAGTGAACGGCCCTCGGTGGAAGTGACGGCCCAGTGTAAGGACAAAAAGGGATGCACTCCATGAAACAATCATGGAAAGTGGGTGGCATGGCATGGATTTAGATGACCATGAAATCCGAATACCAAATTTTTTGATGTTCACTGAAGTGAAACCATTTGAATCAGTCGGAGCGCTCATTCAGCACACCCATGCTGCCCAGTCTTCCAGTTCGTCGTTACTAGTCCAAACCAGTTGGTCTAACTCACCAACGTACTGAGACCCTGAATCCAGCGTCCACGGTTCAGTTCGTGCTGTTGCGTTGGTTCGTCGTTCCTTTCCGCCGAGGCCAAGCGGCTGGGAACGCCAAGGATCCCACGGAGCAACACACCTCGGAGTCTCGGCGCATCAACGCGGCGTGGCGCGGTGAATCGACGCGGCGAGGTCCTGGGGTCGTTCGGTCGCTGCGTCGATGGGAAGACGACGTGAGTCTAGACACGACACGTCGACGGGACTGCCAGTCCGGACTGCCGAGAAAACGGGGGTGGTTGACCTGGGGCTCTGTTTGTACCAGTATGTAAATATGCCAGTCCCATTAGTCGTGTCTGGGTATGGTATTCGTGGGGTGTTCCGTGAAAGACCAGTCGATGAAAGTGGAAGGTGGTGAGGGAAACCATACATAGCGAATGGTACATCACGGTAGTGGATAGATATGATCAGTTGTACATCCTTGGGCTGGATGATCGTGGTATGCTAGGCTTCCAGTTCCAGTGAGTCATGTAGATGACCCCAGTCATGGAATTAAAACGAATCCGATCAAACAACCCTCCACTCGGTTTCTGAAACAGCCCAATGAGACTCCCAATTCTTTCGCAGCTGTGGCTTTGCATGGCACTTCTTTCGCTTAAACTAGACTGTTTGGTTTCCGATTGCGCCCTTGCTGGCCGCCTCGTTTCGATGCCGCCCCACCGCTCAGGAACGCACGGATTGGGCACGGGGCTCCGCTCGGCCGTTCGCCCGCCGCTGCTCGCTTCGCATGCTTCGTTTCTCACTTCGCCTGCCATGGCCGGACCTGAGGAGTACATGGGTATGACACAATGGGCCTGGACTCCAAAGAGGTGGTTCCAGAGCACCGCGGAACGAAACCGCGGGACGAACTGGTTCCCGCGAAACGGGAGTGGAACCGCGTGTAGAACCGCGTGTTCCGGGAGCGAGGTTCCGCGGGCACCGGTCTAGACTGGGAAGGAATATCTTACGAGACGTTGCTGCATCCGTGTCAAAGCCCAAAGGCTCAGTTGGCAGGACCCAACCAGTTCGGTCCGGGTGAAATGACCCTCACACCCAGGGTGAACTGGACCGAACCAACATGTAGCAGTTTGAGGGTCCATGAGCCTTTGGGTAGCATATGAAAGGAGCATATCATATGCTGTTAAATGTTGTTTGGTGATCGCAAATTGTATACATTGCTTCCCAGTTTGACATGGAGTGTCCCAACAGATTGGTGACAGCTGAGAAGATCTCCATGTCTTCCTGATTTGCCATGTTGGGGTGATCAGCAGTGCTGTGGAGGAATGAGTTACTTTTTTCATGGTCTTTCCAATTGCTGAAGAAGATGCTATTGGAAATCCTATGAGCTACTTGAACCTATCATGTTATCACTATGCACCTTGCGTTCCTGGCATATATCAGGCCAGCAATGAGGTAATGGACTGCCTGACCATAGAGTGTTGAATATATAGATAATGCCATCTACATGGGAACGTGCATGGGGCAGCATTAACATGATCAATCAAGGATCAGTTCCCGCGGGCAGACATATCGAGAACAACATTAGAGCCGAGTTGAGCTAAGTTTGGCTTTTGGTGCCAGCAATCGTGCCAGCAATATGAACCATACCCTTCGCAAGCGTGCCAACTGCCGAACCCTGATTCTCTCTAAATGTTTAGAGTTCACACTGAGACCACCCTCCTGGTGGATCGTGTAGAAAACGGAAAACAACGGCCAAACAAACCACCTTTTGTCCCATCTCACTCCTCATCTCACACCGGCGGCGTCCGACCGTTCCGTCCCAGGTATCGAGGCGACCGGGGAGCCGAAAGGCACCAAGAGCGAAGACCTGCCAAGAGAGGTCGAAGGCCTGGCGCGTGGCGCGGTCACGCCGGCGGGGCGGCGCGGTCACGGTCGGCGTCCTCGGCCGACTCCGTCGCGTGGCTTGGGAGATCGGGGTGAGAGGTTCTTGATGTTCTTCTGCTTGGGATGGAGGTTTCATGAGGTTTTTTGGGGGGTTAGACATCAGGGGGTTGAAGGCTCCAAGGTTCTGAAGGCAATTTTGCATGCATGAGTTTGCTGAAGTAGGTAAATCCCCTAACCTGGGGAATCGTTTTGTTCCCCTGGTTTTCTTAAGCAAATCGTATGCGTTTTTCTTAAAGTATTTTTTGGAGGTGGGGGATGCAGACACAACACTTGATGAGAAAACTGGTTATATGGATTGTTGCTGGTACACTGAAATCTGTCATCTATGGCAAGCGCCAAAAGTCATTTGGGGCAATGTCCAGCAAGTGGATGGTTGTTTCATCAGCAGGTTGGTCGGGCGTGTTGTTGCTGACCTAGAGCCCATTTGTTCCCTGTTTTAAGAAAGGACCGTACTTTGGGTGGTTTGCGATGGTCCAAAATAGGGGTCACTCAGCTTCCAGCTATATGGCCTTGATTAGCCTTGGAGTATTTGCAATGCCCAACTTCTCAATCAGTGCCCCCAGTTTTGAAGGAGACCAGCTTCCAGCTGTTCCTGACAGCGTGGTCGCCCTCTGCAACAAACGTTCCGCGAGTAGCCAGTTCTTCAAGGATTGGTAGCTTGGATGTCAGGGGGTGTGGCAACCCTGGATGTCAAGTATACTCAGCATACTGAGTTTCTCTTCTGATGGACAGAAGCCTATACTCAGCGTGTAGCCACGACCCCTCAAAGACTCCATTCCGGACTCGTACACTCCCATGGGCCTTTCCGTGGATAGCATGGCCCCAATTTCGGGTGTCCATGAAATCCGAATACCAAACAGATGGTTGTATCGCATGGAAATCATAACATCATCGGGTCAGCCTCCTGGATGTGTGTTAACTTCAGCCTCCTGGGCTTCCACTGGATGGCCATCTCTGAAGTTTGTTCGGCTCTATGAGTCCTTGAGCCTTGACTGGAAAGGATATGTTTGAAACCTTGACGTCGAAGCTTTTGAGCTTTGGGGTGCCTCCCTGTCCCTTCCACATGGAGATTTGAGTCATGAGGAGCCTGACTGTGTAACCTGACAATTGAGGCTGCGCATCTGCAGAGATTATCATTTTGGGAGTGAGGATAAGTTGTAGACTCCACTTCATAGACACCCCAGACCATCCATGGGACTGGAGGATTTACTGGGGTGAGTCTTCCCACATCACAAGCTTCTTTTGGAAGTTTTTTTTGGTCAATAGAAAAAGCCCCCAAGATTGGTCCATCTTGGGTTCCGAACGGTTCACCTTCGACCGGGACATACAGACATGGGCTCACACCCATCTGGCACCAAAAAATACAGAGGGGCCGAGCTAGGCCCATCAAGAGCGGTTTTCCCCACCCTTGACAGAGATAGGTTGACCGTGTTTGGTATTCTATTATGTTCTTCCCGTCGCGTCGAAGAGTCTCGACTGGTACTAAAGGCATTCTGGGCTCATCCGTCCAATGTGAGTTTGTCACACATGTACCCAGAACGAATTAAGCCTCCGCACTATCGAACGTGGTAGTCTTATTCTGTTCATTTCCCTAGGCCTCCAGTCGTACCTTCGAACGGGTTTGGGGTGGGTGCCATTGTCGGGTCCAGTCATACCTTCGTTTCGGAGGTACGACGAACTCGGTGTAGGGTTTTGGGTGGTCAACCCAGGTCCCCTGGCGCCATGACCCAGATCGGCGCCACCCCTTGGTAGTCCGACCGGTACTGGTCTGACCAGTGAAAAACGACACGTTCCTTCGTCTGGGCATCCGAAGGCATCCGCCTTCCAAGAAGATGTTCTGCTTCGCTCACTTGTCGTGTAAAATTCTGAGTAAAGGAGGTGTTCTTCGGGACTCAGACTCTTACATGGTTGTTGGAAGCCTAGGGCATCTATACCCCGCCAAGATCGATTCTGTTTCCACTGTCACCAACTGTCGCAGTCACCGTGGCGGTGTTTGCCTTTTGATCCTTTCCGCGCCTCACGCTCTCGTTCACGCTCCTGTTCGCGCCACGGTGGTGTTATCTCACGCTCAGGTACCAGCTGATGCAGGTGGCAGAGGCAGAGATCCGCTCCATGGCCAACATGGAGAAGGAGGTAAAGACTCGAGGCAAGGCCGAGCGGGGCGGGGCGTGTCTGGATGCCGGCCGGGGCGTTCTTGTACGTAGCAGAGGTCGATATCCGATACAAGAATCAGAATGATCAAGAATATATATTCGCCCCAACGGTGATCATTCTACGTTTCAGGACGACGTATTGGGTCATTATACCTAGAACCCGTTTGACCATGTCTCGGCTTCGAATCAGGTCATTCAGCTTGCAGGTATTATATCCTGCACGTTGAGGAAAGACATCCTGCAGCACATGGGATGGACAAAGAGCCTCTACGGAATCACGGAACATCTTTGCTGTTGAGGTGGTTGTCCTGCTTTCGATCGTGGGTTGGTTTCTCTCCTCACTGCAAAGCCCCCGGAGTCCCTTCGGGCTCTTCGAAGGGTCAGGTGTCCAACTGAGCTCCATGTTCCTGGAAAGCACCAGGTAAATCGCACAAGACCATGGCAGACCCCGGAGAAAAGAATCTCATACAGTATATACAATATATACAATATATATACCCTTTCACGTTCCAAAGCAGTAGACGATCATCTTACAATCATCGGTTTCATGGTTTCCCCCATCTTCCCGCCATTTTCACAGCAACCACCTCACCTCCCTTCCCTCGGTCTCGGTCTCCAGGTGATGGCCCCGGCGTCTGGTTTGAACCAACCCCTTCGGTCAAAGGACCGGGCGAAGCGGCGCAGCGCAGCGTAGCGCATCGATGCCTGGGACATGGGGGCGTTGGGAACCTTGATTAGACCAAACCCCCATGTCCCAGGACACAGGGCCTTTGGTGACTGTAGTGAGCTAGCCTGTCTGACCTACAGGAGAATCAAGAGAGTTACATGGAGGCGCCCTTATGCTGCCTACAATGCTTTTGAGGCTTGTTGCAAACTGGTTTTAAAAAGTATACCAAAACCCATGGGGGTTATGTCACAAAAACTCTAGCGATGACTTTTCTTCCAGGAGTCACAAAGCGGGGTGGTTTGGCTCGTCCCATCCAGGGGCCGTGGATGTGACAGGGGCACCCCGACTTCCTCCAAGTTCGGCACCCCTTTGTTTTTAATAGCGATGGCCTCCAACCTAATAGGAATGGCCTCCAACCTACTAGCGATGAAGTTGGGGCTTGGGGGGAGAAAAGAGTTTAGGGGGAGATGTTCAAAGGGTCTGGTTTTGAAGCACTCATGCTCAGGAGTTAGGGCGTGAAACACCGTCTCTTCTGATCCACAACCATTTGGGCTTGTCATAGCAGAAGCAAGCAAAGGAAGGAGGAAGACCTCCGGTTGCTGATTTTACTCATTTGCCTATAGCATGCCTTTGGTTTCCACTTGTGCCCATCACTGCGCAGGATCGGGAGTGCTTGCACGGTACCAGACACCCCTCACATACATTGGTGGCTCCGCTCCCGCCTTCGCCGGGAGCGCCGGTACCGAACTCGGCGCACCGGTACCGCGTCCAAGCCGCGCGGCGCGGAGTAAACCGAAGCTTTGGTGGTTCGGGCGGGGTGGAACTGCTGCAAAGGGGCCCGGTCTCTGGGTCGACGGATGATTTTCGTTCGTCGAGAGTTGAACCCCTGGTGACCCTAGTGTAGATTGAAATCAAAAAGAGAAACTCAATTGGATTGTGAAGCCATGTTGAAAAAACATGATTTTACATTGTACGAGTCGTATAAGAGTGGTATGCTTGGATCCACTGGCTGTTACTTGGCCAATTCCGGAGGATTCCAGAGAGCAAAGAGGAAAAAATGGTCCAGTCCAAGACAATCTAAGAACTCAAAGACGCCAGTCCGATGCCAAAGCCTTTTGGGTGTTTTTCTTGTTTTTCCCATTGTATAACGTTTCATTCACATTGACATGCGTTTTTTTGATGTGTGTTTTTCATTGTGTATTTCACAAAAGAGAAGTTCAATTCCTCTACAAAGTACACATTTCCAGCAGAACAACTGCAAACCACTTACCCTAAAAGGCACATATGTCTCAATGTCCTATTCACATTCTGTATACTTCTTTAACAGTTGCTTTTAAAAGGGTCTATAGAAAAAAAAGCACAAACAAAAGGGTCTATTTAAAAGGGTTGTTTTGTGTGTTTGTTCGCTTTTAAAAGGGTCTATAGCTTAATTGGATTGGTGGATATGCTTTGACCGTGATCCTCCAACCGGCAGGAGGAGAGGTCCGTCAGCAGCGGGGCACTCTGGGCGGGTGCGGCTTGGCTGATAAGGGGCGAAGAGTGTGACAACTGGAGTGGTCAATATGTTCAATCCGTAAGGATTCTTGGATGGGTTTGTGACATCTGGATCCTTGGATGGGGTTTGTACCCTCAAAACCTGTGTTTTTGTGGAGAAAAAGGTGAGTGTGACATCTGGGTGGGCCCAATTTGGTGATTTGGTGCACACTTTTCGGCGATGGCTTCACCATTTTGCTAGTTAAAGTCTTCAAGCACCTGGCAGCCAAGTTTGATGAAAGTGGAGTTGCAGTATGAGTCCGTATGAAACTTGGGGCGTGTCCCACATCCTGTACAGGCCCAAAAGTACCCAGTGAGGTGTTTACTACACGTCCGGTTTAGGCAGCATTCCTTGAACCGACGAAAAAGCCGAGGCGTCCCAATGATGCCGCCACCTTGCTGTCCATCCACCTGGACGAGGGTTTAGGAATCGACTGCTGGCAGCATGTGATGAAAGAGCACGGGGTAGACACCACAGGACGAGCACAGGACAGATGGGAGTGGTCTTTTGCACAAGCTGCAGGGGTCTCACGTCTATTTTATGTTCTTTTATGTGGTAATATGTGAATAAGACTGGATCTTCCCAAGCAGAAGTTATATAATGTTTCCTTATCAAGGTCCAAGTGTGCTTTCCGGATTGCTTTTCAGTGTGAGTTGCAAAAAAGAAACAGACCTGGATCCCAGACTCCGAAGGCGCTCCGAAGAAAGGGACATCGGTTCTTCGCTCTTCTCAGAAGCCTGGACTGACCCCCAAAGCGTTGCTTTCGACCCACGCGAACTCCAATCAGTCAACTGGTCCTCACATGTCCCAGTCGGTCAGCGTCGTGGACGCCAGGACTTCTACGGCTGTAGCCAGGTGCTCTTCTCCCAAAGCCGAACGGGTCGCTATGTGCCACGAAGTATCTTTGCAGGTGCGGTGGTTGTGTAAAAACAATTATCAGGTGAGATGGACATCTACAATATGAACCATAATAAACACGCAAGTACTGCATGATTGGCCGAATATGTGAATAGTACATGATTGGATTGTCAGGGATATATAAACCATAAGATTCGCTGCAGGACTTAGTTTGCATTAGACCCCCGTTGGTCAAGCGATGCTCGTGGGAGCCGAGACCTGTAGTCCTGTGTGCAGACTGCTGGTCACTAGTCCTGGCCAAAGCGCATGACCCGTCCCCGGGTAGAACAGCTGCACATAGATATATCACGCTCCAGTAGTTCTCGTGGCTTTGCATTTTGAACCGCAAAAATGGAGTCAGTCGGACTATCTTGCTGTTTTAGTTAAATTCCACTGTTTTTTAATGCACAAATCATGAAACACCTAGAATCGGCATGGCAGCATGCTCTATTTGTCTCCCATGTTTTGCACGTGTCGTATGCCCAAGGCCAGAAAGTGTGCTCCTTGATGGTGACAATTGTGTCTCACTCACAGCAGTCCCGCTGTGTCTCTGCTGTCGTTTCCGTTCTCAACGCAAGTGTTTTCAAGCTTCGGCTTGAGATGCCGCGACCCCTCTTCGGTGACAGAAAAAAACAAAGAGCCCCGAAAGAACTGGGCCTTTGAGAGAAGAACTGGGCCAAACGTCTTGGCCTTGTAGCACGTTTCGAAATTGCTTTGTTGCGTGGATGTCGCTCTTCCGCCTTTGTTTCCCGTCAGGTCCGATCCTGTCCGATCCCCTTTCCGATCCCGTCCGATCTCGGTCTCCATCCTGTTTCGACCGGCATGTGACGCGAGGCGATCCCGGTGGCAGGTTGATTTGGCCACCTGCACGCTTTTTCTACTTGTGCAGGAAGTGCAAGTGGCGAATGGTGGTTTTCAATGGTTTTCATAGACCTTCCTACCTCAGCCCTTTTTTGCAGTCTCATCGGTCTTGTCGTCCCGTCAGCCCGTCCTTGACGCAGCGAGCCTTCGAGCCAAATCCCGCCGAGCCAAATCCCAGGCCATACACCCCACAAACACCATGGCAGCTGGTTCATCCTTCCAAATGCCTCAGTGCTAACTTCATCTCCTCCATATTGGAAGGCCCATATTCCTGTACTCACTAACTATTTGTTCATCTCTCTCCCACTGGGTGTCATAGGCTATAAGGTCATACCAATCCTCAACAGTCCACCAATCTGACCGTACAGGCATCCACCCTCGCCACACAGAGCCTCCATCTCCTACTCCTTGTCCTCCGTGCTCTTATATGCAGTGATCCAATTAGCATGGCTCTCTGATCTATCCTATCAGATCTCTTATCAAACTTGTGCCAATATACTCAGAGCTCTCATTGTCACACAGAATCTCATCATCCATCATCCATCGTCAGGTCCAGGTCATCATCGCATCATCCATCATCAGGAAATCACCTTTATTACGGGGATGTGGTCTCCAACACCTCCAATCTCAAACCTTGTTGACCTTTTTTGACCTTGAAAGGGGGGTTTGATAAATCCAGTGTGTTGACATGTGTTGACATTAATCTCTGGTAGGTGGACCACGTCTGTATTTGTCACAGTACATGGATGCAGCTTTCGCCACCCCCGGAACCGGATGACACCGGTGACCGATGATCTGCGAACCTGCGAATTTGCATCGGACATGTCGCAGGTTCGCAGAAGTCTATGGATACCGTGAGCCAAGCTGGAATGTTTGATCCCCTGTCCATCGTCGTGGCACCTGAAGGGCAACTTGACTGAGTCATGACGTCGATTCACGTCAGAAAAGGCCAGGGCCCAAAAACGAGTCTGCCCTCCCCGTGTTTTTGGGGGTGTTTTTGTTGATGTTTCTTTTGGTTGAACAGTGAACAGTGGTTCTTGCCAGAATCTTTACATGTGTCGAATCTGCATAAATCCTTTGTTTGGTGTCAACGGGTGAACGGTGTCGAATCCCGCTTCAGATCCGAGGAGTTCGTCCGGTGGACCGACGGACGAACGGTGGACGGAAAGCCGGACTCGGACGAAGCCGAGGTGCAGTCTGGAGACCGCCTGCGATGAGGGGCTGAAGATTCCAGAGCTTTTGGAGGTCCGGACAAAACACCCCATCCAAGAATGAAACACCTCCACCCAGACGCTGGGCAGCTGGGCCCGAATCCTCTGGAGGGGTCTGGGGTTTCTCACCAATCACTATAGCTTTTACAGAATGACATTGTTCAGGAAGCTACGAACGGGGCTCCTGGCCTTACTACGAACGGAACTAGAACGCTACGAAGGGAGCAAAGGGCCCGATGACCCGAGACGGGCGCCGAATGCCAAGGGGTCGGACTTGATTTCCTCGGGGATATGGAGGGGGTCCTGGGGTTTCGAACATTCATCGGTTTGGGAGGGAGCGCGGAAAGGGCTGAACTCCAACGCTTGTTCACGGGTGGCATGGTAAAGAAACCTCATGCAACATCTTAATTAAGAATTCTCTGTTCCAAAATGGTAGCCCTCTCTTGAAATGATGTCTTTGGGGTCAGGTTTGGAGTCAATTGAACCATGCCGCAGGAGGCCCACTGGCCCAGCGTAGGAATTCTTCATTCGAAGTTGGAACAGTTCCACCAGACACCGGCCAACACACGGCGGCCCAACACGCGGAGCCTTCGTCGTTCCAGGCCGTGCGCTTGCAGCTGGAGCGCAGCGATTACGTGGAGGGGGTCTTGGTCTCCTCGACCATCGGCCAGGACGTCCAAAGCATCTGGAGAGAGTGGTGTGTGTGGTGCGAACTCGCAGGTGGCGCAGGTCTCTCGTTATCACATCTCTGGACCACCGTTTCCTGCAACGTTGGAAAGTCATCTCGGCCTCTATAAAGAATAAATAATTCTAACTAATTTAAAAAGGTTAACGATATATGTAAAACAAAAAATCGAAAATCAATTCTATGTTATGTCACCATTTCGGAGGTTTGGAAGGTGCTGGTCGAAAAGACCTCCTTTGCTGGATGGTTTTACGCGGTGCGGGCCCAGTCCCGCGCGGGTGATCCACCGGCGATCGGCAGCCCCTCAAAGCCGGAACTCCTTGGTGGTGCTCAAGCCCCGCCCTTTACTGGTGATCTGGTGCCTGGAAACGGCGCGGAAGTCAGTACATGCAGCTTGTGAGAATGAGCATCCGGATGTTTGTGGAAGGATGTGGAAGGTATTAGTCATTGCGAAGGACTCTGGCTCGGTACAATCTCGACCAATACCTAAGGAGGTGATTAGATGTGGAAGGTATTACTCATTGGAAGGTATTAGTCATTGGAAGGTATTACTCATTGGAAGGTATTAGTCATGAAGCTATAAGGAAGAATCTCTAAGTCCTGTAGGACTTTGGCACCAGTGCCCTGCAGAAGGCGATCTTGAATCATGTGACGATGGAGATGCCGAAGCTCATCAAGGTTTGCTGCTCCTGCATTCCAGATTGCCAGGCAAGGACAGTGCACGAGCATGCAAGCATTGATGTGGTTCCCGAGGACCGAACTGATGGGTGTGTGTGCTCAGTCCAGTCCGATAAAGTCTTGTAGAGACGGTTAGGTTGAGTGCACGCTTGTGGCGGCCGTTTCGGTTCATAGGCTGTGGCTTGAAGTTCATGACCTGTAACAAGTGCAGGTCAGGACTTCGGGCACCGGGAGATTCGTGGTGCCTCGGTTGCAGTTCAGTCGAGGCTCTCTTGGCTGACCTGAAGAGGGAGTGGTCCTCACCGGCACTCCGTGAGGCAGCCGAGAGCTCGATCTTAGGAACTGCTTCGCTGGTCCGCAAGCTCCGTCGAGCATCCAACTCCGAGGCCGGGCAGGGACCTGCTGGCCGGGAGGCCGAGCGCGGATCCGGCGCTGGCCGCGAGGTGGAGGAGGAGGTCGAAGTGGACGAGGGGTACTACGAGGAAGAGTCGGAGGAGGCTCCGCACCATCGTTCTTCTACGGGGGCGACGCCAAAGTCTCAACCACCGAAGAAGAGACCTCGGACACCACCTCGCCCACCTCCGGGGCACCCGACTAGTCAGAGCCGTCGTGAAGAGGACGGGCACCGCCATCGGCATAGAGTTCACGATTCTCAGAGGAAACACCGAGGAGGAACCAAACACCAGCAGCACTCCAGGCGGACGAGCGCCGGAGACGCAAGGACGACCCATCGACCCCTTGCTCGAGAGCTCGAAGGCCAACCCGTTCTCGGGCGCTCTCCCCCGGGGGAGCGCTGAGTTGGGATTGCGGGATGAGTGATCCGGAGAGGCCAGGAGGAAGCCTTCGGGAGTGGGGACAATGACATCTTGGAGGTGACCGCTTTGACAGGTGTAGAGGGCTGCGAGGCTTCGAAAGGCGTGTTCTGGGTGCAGTCGCTCGCCGACATCCATACCTCGGGGCTCAAGTTGCAGGTCGCCTACCTTGGAGGATCCGAGGGCACGACGGGACCTACTTTGGCTCAGATCTTCAACAGGCGCAAGCTGGTGTTGCACCTCTGTCACGGAGAGTTACCATGTTCGGTAGAAGGTTGTGGAGGACATGCCACCAGGTTCACCCTTTACAAGGTGGCAGACTACGACGTTTCTTATTTACATCAAGAGGTTGCAAAGGCATTCAAGCGACGCAAGCGAGACTGGGACAAACTTCGAGGCAAAGGGCACGCTGGAGGAGCTGTTTCGGAAGGAGACGAGTGGTCGGGCAACCTGCGCGGGGAGGAGTCCCGGGCGCCAGCCGCTGGGGTTCGTCCCGACGCGCGTATCGAGGAGGTCAGAGAAGGAGAGCTGTGGCAGGCTGGCGAGGACGACGGCGTTTGGGGGGAGCTCAAACCCCCGGCCGAGTTGCCCAAAGACTCGGGGTTGCCACCAGGCAGGGACGAACGTCGGTCCGCCTTGAGGAGGACACTGAGCGAAGCCAAGCTGAGGTTCCAGGAGGCGCACGGCCGCGGCCGGCATTCCAGAGTCAAGGGTGGTGGCGTGCCGTTCAGCGCTTTCGACTCTGCTCAGGGCGGCTTACCACCACCGCCCGCGACCAAGAAGGACTTCAGGGAGCAGAAGAAAGAGGCGCTGGAGGACTTGCCATTAGAGAATACAAAAGACACTACTATGAAGCCCTCCAAGAAGAGGAAGTTGGGAGAAGGCGACAAACCGGCAGGCAAGGGGGTTTTGAACCAGCTGGTGCATCAAGCAGCGAAGACCCCCAAGAAGGAGAAGGAGAGCAAGACTATCCGATCGTCGTCGAGGACGGCTATGGCACGTCAGGGCTCCAGGAAGAGAGGGGAGCAAAAAGAAGAGGCGAGAAGGAGACGGAGGAGGAGATCCGGACGACCCATCCTCAGGAGCCGACGACTCGAACGGGATGAGCGGTTCAGACGACGGCTGCAGCGACTCGTCAGGGGCCGAGCTGGAGCAGAAGGAGAAGGACAAGAGCACACCGCCGTTGGAGAGGATGAGTCAGAGAAGAGCGGGTTCGGTTCTGCAGGCATTCGTCAATCACATGAGGGAATCGCTGCAGAACCTCGACGAGGGGAGCACACTGTCCCCGAGGACTCGGTGATTGGCGGGGTGTCAGCGGTCAAGTACTTCCACCTCCAGATCAAGCCTACGATGGGAGCCAAGTCGCGAGAAGCTCGGGAGATATATTGCCTCTTGCAGGGGTTAGACCTGCTGAGGTCTGGCAAGTTGGACCACTTGGGGGACCTCATGGCGGCGAGAGCGATGGCTGTGCATCAATCAGTCACGGACGGGGGATCCTGGCGAGCGGCGAGACACCTCGAGATTCGGCCGCTGGAGACAGGAACCGCTGCGAACACGAGTCTCATCCTCCAAGCCCGGAAGTTTGCCAAGGTCTCCGACAGAGCAGCAGGCTTGAATCCCGCGAGGACGTGGGTGCCTCGACCCTACGGCAAGGGAAGCAAGGACTGGGGCGACGAGGCCGATTCCTACAGGGATTTCAAAGGAAAAGGCAGAGGCAAGAAAGGGAAAGGAAAAGGCGACAAGGGCAAGAAGCCATGGAAGGAGAGTGGCCAGAAAGATTGGGCCAGCACCCAGGCGCCTCCGCCGGGGAAGGACGACAACTGACCGCTTTTCAACTTGGTCAGATCCTCGAGGAGGCACACGACACCACTACGTTGGGGCAGCGCATTTCAAGCTTGGTTGGTGCATTGAGTCTTGATCTGTCGCAAGCCGGGCGGACTCCCCCGCTGGCATATCATTTGGGTCTCAAGGCCGTGAAACGACGGGTGCTGAGAGGTAGGACCTCTCGTGCACTCTTACCTATCCCGGGGGAGGCCGTGGTACAGTTTCGTCCAACTCTGCAACCAGACCAGGTTGAAGACAGAGTGGGACGGATATCCAGTTTTCAGAAGCGCAGGCCAAGTTTGAAGGCCGGTGCGCATTCGAGTCGTGCAGCTGAAGATGAAGGCATCTGTGCATGGGCGCTGAACAGCCTAGCGGGTTGTAACCTACTGGCCGGACATCACTCGCTGCTGCCGAACGGCAGATCGTCTGCCTTGCAGTTGGCAGCCGTGGGAGAACTCCAGGCCACCGTGACCCGCTCCATGTCCAGGAGCTTCGAACTCCGCTGGACTCGAAAAGACTGCGCAGCTGAGTTGAAGCGAACACATGTGTCGTATTCGGGGGAGGAGGTCGAAGTGGCCCAGACGTTGTCGGTCGAACAGATGGAACCTGCTTTGCCACCGGTAGGTTTTGGAGGGGCGATTCAAGCGGTTGACTTCCTCTCCCCTGGTTCGCAGTTTTGGTTGGAGCACCCGGAACGGTTGTTGGGACATCCTGCGGGGTTTGCAGGGTTGCGATTTCAGGCTAAACTCCACATCCAGAAAGGGGAAGAGCTGGCAGTGGCCAGGCTCCTTGTTGAGAGGAACGTTTGCTCCTGGATCGAACGGGACCAGGTTTTCTCCCATGGAGGGCGGAGGTTGTACAACGGTTTGTTCGGGGTCCGGAAGGACTCCTTGACCCCCTCAGGGAAACCCATTCTCCGGACGATCATGAATCTTACCCCCTGCAACTCGTTGTTTGTTCCTTTCCAACAAGGACATCGGGAACTCCCTTCGATCTTTGCCTGGAACTCCATAGTCGTAACGGCTTCTGACATTTTGGAAGTTTCTCAGAGTGACATGTCTTCTGCATTCTACCTGTTTGCTTTGCCACCTCAGTGGAGACCTTTCTTCTGTTTCGCGATCTCGACCGACGGAGGGCAGATTGGTCGTGAAGAGGGGAAAACCTATGATCTTTGTTGTTCATGCCTTCCCATGGGATGGCATAGTTCGGTGGCCCTGATGCAGGAGATCTCCGCCCAGGTCCTTATAACCGCTCACCTCCCAGTGGCCTACCAGCTTAGTCGAAACCGGTTCGTTCCTTCCTGGCTCGTCAACCTCGAGTCGGTGGTTCCGCTCGCTCACCGAGACTGGTGGCAGGTCTACCTCGACAACTTTGCGAGCGGGCTGGTCACCAATGCCTATGCGGAGGCTGCTGATTCGCCGGAGCAGCCACACCGCTGGCACGAGGCCGCAGAGCGGGCCTGGGCGTCGGCCGGAATTGTTTCCTCCGCAAAGAAGAGGGTCACCCGCGCTCGCACTGCTGTCGAGCTGGGGGCCCATATCGATGGAGAGAAACACTTGGTGGGAGGTTCGCTGGAGAGACTCATGAAGACGGCAAAGCTCATTTTGTTTCTCCTCATTTCACCTTTCACAGTGAGGGAACTTCAGACCGTGGCTGGTAGGATAGTCTTTTTAATGTCGTTCCGTCGACCCACCATGGCCGTGTTCAGCAAGACGTGGACCTACATTGCCAAACCCGGGTTACGATATCGACTCCTTCCCGAAGTTAGGAGGGAGCTCTTCAATGCGCTTCTTCTCCTCCCACTTATGTTTCAGGACCTGACAGCGGCCATCCCTAACGTGGTCACCTGTTCCGACGCCTCGCATGAAGGCGGAGCTACGGCCATCGCCGAGACTCTCTCGGCGGAGGGACTACAGTTCCTCAGGGCTGCAGGGACCGCCGAGCACCCTCCTGAGAGGCGGCCCATCCTCGTGGTGAGCGCTTTCCATGGGATAGGAGGCGCTAGTCGGGCGTATGATCTTTTGGGGATTCAGGTCGAAGGGACCGTGGTCATCGAGATCGACTCCGCCGCAAATCGCGTGTCGTCGCGCCGTTGGCCTTCGAGTGAATATTGGGGGGACATTCGCACGGTTGATCGTGCTGCAATCCGCGAGTTGAGTGTGAGGTTTTGTCACTGTTCTCGGGTTGACTTTTGGGCAGGATTCCCTTGTGTTGACTTGAGCGCCGCTAAGTTTGGTCGTCGTAACCTTGAGGGACGTGAGAGTTCTCTGATATTCGAAGCGCTCCGGGTCCTACGTTTGCTGCGAGAGTTCTTTCCTTCCCCAACGGACGTACATTTCATCTTCGAGAATGTCGCGAGCATGGACGTTGACGCTAGGGACCAGATTACAACCCTTACAGGTGCTAAACCTTGGCGGTTGAATCCATCCGACGTTTTGCCAATCTCGCGGCCGAGGTTCGCATGGACATCTTTTCCTCGCGCCCTACTCCCAGGAACCAGCTGGCATGATCGAGAAGGATACTACGACCTGCAGCTCAGAGGCGATGGCATTTCCTCGAGCCAGTGGCTTCGTGAGGGGTGGTCCTGGGAACCCGCTGATTCGGCGACTAAGTTCCCCACTTTCATGAAGAGTATCCCTCGGACTAGACCTCCCCCAGCACCTATAGGAATTCGGAGATGCGACGAGGGAACCTTAGGCCGATGGGAGGCGGACGCCTTTCGCTTTCCTCCTTACCATTATATGGACCCCTATATTATTTGGCAAAAAATGACACCTGGCGTCTCTTGGACGCCTCCGAGCGGGAGCTGTTGCTAGGTTTCGGGTTCGGGCACACAAGCCTATGTTGGGGCGCGACAGCTGTAAAAGGAGACCTACAAGGCTTTGAAGACAAGCGTAAAAGCCTCCTCGGCGATTCTTTCAGCATGTTGTCGTTCGCAACGGTTTTGGCCTGTAGCATGTCTTGGGATTCCACCCCCTTCTCAGTTGACCACTTGGTGCGCCGTTTGGGGCTGGCGCCCGGTTTTTGTACGGGCTGGGCTGCCCCTGCCCCTGTTGCACGCCGCCTTCAGTTTGGCACAGGGTCAACTGACTGGAACCCCGAGTCTCCGGTTCGAGAGTTGAATAAGTTGCTCCTGCAACGTACTAACCACACGGGATCTGACGTTAGGGTCGTCACAGGACAGTTTTTGGGGAAGTCACCGGTGCGTCAGTCGGTTCCCAGTTGTCTCTGGAACTGGCGATTTTTGTTCCAAAACCGCTGGTCCAGAACCGAGCACATTAACGCACTTGAGATGCGGCAAGCACTCATCTCACTTTCTTGGCTGTTGAGGGATGGTTCTCACTTTAACTTTCGATGGGTTCACCTCAGTGATTCCTTTGTGACCATCTCTATCCTTTGCAAGGGCCGTACGGCTTCTGAGAAGTTGGAACATCTCGTACGTCGGTTCAACGCCACCGTGTTAGCGGCTCAAGTGTTCCCTATTCTGCTCCATGTAGCCTCCTTGGACAACCCTACGGATGAAGGGTCACGCAACTTCCCGCAAAGCGGCCATGCTCGCTCGACGCCGACGTCGTGCCGGGGTACCCTTGGCTGAAGCAGGGATAACGCTCAAGACTCGATTGCGATACTTCGCTGGTCTTCAGCGTATTTTGAAGTTGATCCAGTTAGCCCATAGCTGGGCTGATCTTGATGATCGTATCGCTGGCTGGATTGAACTCCAGTGGGAAGTTGGTGAAAGCATTGGGCTCATCTCTGACAGTTTGTGTGGACTGACTTTTTACCTGCCAGCAGCACGCCACCAGGTTCCTGAATGTTGGCGCCTCTTTCGAACTTGGCGAAAGGCCGAAATTCCCAACCGCGCACCGCCCATGCCTGCTGAGATCCTGTGGGGATTCACCGGTTACTGCTTGTCACATAACTGGCTACGCATGGCCTGCGTGTTAGCTACCGCCTTTCATTGCATGCTGCGCACCGGGGAAGCTTTGTCCATAGCCCCAGGCGACTTCCTTCTTCGCCAGGGTCATGGAATCCTCAAGTTGCACCAGACCAAAACTGGACGTTCTTGGGACGAATACATACGCATCGAAGATGCCCGGGTTCTCGCCATCCTGGCTTCACTCCTGCCGCTGTTGGGAAGTGATGAACCCACCAAACCTGTATGGCGCGGCTCTGGCCAGCTTTTTCGGTCTTCCCTGCAACACATTGTTGCTCACTTCGCTGTCGAGCATTTGCAGCTGCGAGGCTACTCCCTGCGCCGGGGAGGCGCCACGGACGACTTTGAAAGGTTTGGCTCCTTGGAGCGCACCCTACAACGCGGAAGATGGCAATCCTCTCGCGTTGCTCGGCTGTACTTGGCAGATGGCGCTGCCAGACTTACTCACCTGCGGTTGAACACCGTCCAATTGGCCCGCATTCGTCAATATGCGGCTCTTTGCACTCTCTGAGTTGAAGTTTCACTTTCTGTTTAGTTTCAGTTTCGCCGAGCAGGGTTTGCTAACCCTGGGGGACGTGGAATAAAGTTCCTCTGAACCTTTGAAGTTGACTCTTTTTGGCCTGTGGGCCCGGAGGCGCGGACTGCCGTTGTCCAACTCAAGCGCCTAGAGATCCTGAGTGATCAAATTTGATCCTACCGTTGGATCTGATCCTACCGTTGGATCTTCACTGCAGGGCCATTCAGTGTTGTCTTCACTGATTGGCAAAGACCACACGTTTCACGGCCGACCAGAAAAAGAGCGTATAGTGCGAAACCTATGTTTTTGGAACGACCGAACACGAGGTTCCAGAACGACCGGAGGGGAACCTTTGTTAGGATCCATGAGTCAAAGGTGTCCTGTAAATGAATGCTGAGGCTTCCAAACTTGTGCAAGTTAGTGAGAAATGATGCTTTGGCCAGCCTAGAAAGAAGGAGTTCGTGTCCCTTGCACTGTCCAAGTGCGTTGCGTGTCCACATACGAAACATCGACGAAGCACCGTCAAGCGGCGTGCGCTGCTTGACGGTGACCATGGTCATCAGCCGCAACTGCTGCGACTAAGAGCATCATGTGTTCAATAAACATCCATACACTAGTACAAGTGCAAACTGGATATGAAAAAGAATCAAATATTCTGCTCTTTGATCACCTTGATATCTCTTGCCAAAAGAAGGGACCGCCGCCTTCGATGAAACAAGAAGGACCGCCGGCGCTTTCGATCGATCGAGTCGCAGGCGGATCCCTCCAGGGCTGCGGCCAATGCGGCGATCTCCACACGAACCTGGCGGAAAATGCGGTCATCCGTTGCGGATCACCACGATGCGCATGATTGTGGTCGGGTGGGTCTAACCTGACCTTGTGTGCCATATGCCCATCTCTTGATCATGTGTTTTTTTTCTGCTTGTGGTCGATTCAATCTCTATGCATGACTTGTCCATAGATTTTTTTGTTTTCCATGTACCACCGTGCGGTCACACGTTTTCATCCGACATGGCGTTCAAAGCCGATGTGCTCGAGTCAATGGAGGCTATGAGGAACCCCAGCTTTGTCAGATGTTGGTAAGCCATCCAAAGCATTTCATGGTGATTATTTCAACATCAAAATCTTGCGCAAGATATACCTACAAGTCCAGTCTGACTCTGTCAAACCTGTTTTTTCGGGTAGTGTGAACTTGCAAGCTTGTATGGCCAACTCCAGTATTTCATGAGGTCATTGACCGTAGTAGGGATCAACAGGACGTTCCTTCGTGGTGGAGTTCTGACGACCCGAACCGCTGCAAAACCGCAAGAGACCCCGCGCGCGTCGCCGACGCAGAGACGATCCTGAGGAGATCAGCAGGACTTGGCGGATTTGGTCGTCTTGTACGACAGGACCGCGGTGCAGAAGAGGGCCAAAGCCCAGGAGCGATGATGTGACATCGTGCTGTTTTCGTTGCTGGATCAGTGCTTGTTACGTGTGAGTTGCTTGAATCAGCTGCTGTTTTCGTTGGTGGTAGAGTGGCCCAGCTCTTTCCGTGCTTGGGGGTTGGCCCGACCTGTTTTTGGGGGGGTGGAGAGTCACATGAGAGAACAAAGGGTGGTCTACGACACGACCTCTGCTCAGTGGACCTGGGAGCTCCAAAATGTGTATCCAAAGAACCGGCGAAAGAAGCAGTGAAAGCCTCTTGAAGGGCGAAACCAAATAGCGTTGCCCAGAACATCCACTGTGACTGGATGTAGCTAGAATCATCTCCAATCCATTCCTTTGGATTCATTTGGAACTGCTTTTTGCTCTGTTTCAAGAGGGAAGCAAAGCCATCCGGTCGACGGAGTCGACCTCTCTGTCGACCCCCGGTGTAGGAGAACGGCTTGGGCTTGTCTTCACCGAGCGATGCAGACTGCAGAGGCGAGGGCTGGGCGGCTGGGCCCGGGCCTGTCGGTGGCACCCGGTGGTCGGGTCCATGCTGCAGGTGGGTCCTGGTCCTGGTCCTTCGTTTGTAAAGCTTCCCAAGCCCGGAAAACACCCAGCCAGGAGAGCTCGGAGACCTCTCAATCTTCTGTGTAAAACGTAAAGAAACGCCGTCCGGCTCGTCATCCTCGAAAGCAGCCCATCTGCTCCTCTCACCAATGCGGAACAGGTGTCGTCGCACGGCTCTTCAGTGGCTTAACAGGGCCCATGCGCTTCGCGCGGCTGAATGATGACGCCACGCCCTGCTCGTTGTGGACCTATGCACAGTGCCGCGGTGGTCGGAATCGATTTGGTCGGACCGAAGCCGGGGAGCGTCTGCAAACTATCGGGGGCAGGTCAATGTACTAGTTACGAGTACACGGGGAGGGGTGAGCAAGGGAAGGTCATGTTCAATATGGTTCAACTATGCCGCTGTGTGGACAGGAACAGGTACGATAGCTGTTTGAGATGTCTCGGCGTTGATGAGTGGAGAGTTTGAGGCTGAATTTTGCGTATATACACAATAGAAGCTTGAGATGTATATCGGCTGGTGCGTTCTTCTGGAGAGGCAGTCTGACACGATTGCCGACTGCCGACGGTGGTCTTCCTAGAACTGTTCACCGATGTCACAAGACTCGACCGAGAAACAACACTCGAACGTCAAGAACTTGTTCCTCCAGGTTTGCATGTGAAGCTGATGCGAATCAACTTCTGCCAGCACCTTCATTAATTGCGGGGGCGGGGTCACCAATCAAAGCCCCAGCCCACTTATTACACTAATTACGCTAAATTACTACTACTACTACTACTACTACTGCTACTACTACTACTACTACTACTACTACTAGTATCTGGGATTTTGAGCCAGGACACCCGGATTTCAGGTCTTTCGCTGTTTCTCTCCCTTCTCTGAGGAGCTTGGTTCCTTATCCCATGATCAAGTACACCATGGCTTCGCTCGGTGGATTAGGCTCACCTCCCTCAGGCCATGGGGAAACCTGTCCGGCAGCCACGGGAGGGTCGGTTGAAGCAATCCAGGTCACTAAAGGTGTTAGACTACAAAACCAGGTCTGTCCCATACACCTAATGATTGTTGAAGGTGTTTCATCTATTGAAGAAGCAATTGATTTTTGTGTGTTGATTGATATTATTTTCAGATTATTCACAAAACAATTGCGCGCTTGTTTGTCTCGAAACAGGTGCCATGTGTTACCAGCAGTTCGGAGTTGGGTGCCCACAAAAAGAACCGCTTCTTTTGGGCGAGAACCGAAGCCATTCCTTTAAGAACGGGCGTTCGTTTCAGGAAAAAATGAGCTGAGTGATGTGAGATCTCGAGGGACCGACGACGTCCTGGGCCCTCGATCTGGCCAAAGGAGGAGACTCATTTCATCTCGCTGTGGTTTTTGTTGGGAGGTGAAGTGGATGAAACAGGTTGAAGTTGGGAGGTGTTTCTTCGAGTTAGAGAAATTCAGCATGAAGGTTCGTGAAATCTCATACTGTCCCTTGCAAAGAGGTCACCCGGTTTCTTCGTGACCCTTTGCCCATCCTGGGGGTGAAGTGCTTTCTTTCTGACAAAGGGTCACCAGGATTGGAACATAAAGGCCGCAGTCAATCTTCACGGTGGTTTCCCCGGACAACTTCACAAACCTCCGTGTTTAATTCTTGGTTTGGACAAAGCTACATGATCAAACTGGGCTTGGGTACGGGACAAAATGCGAACTGCTTCCTGTTTGGTAACTAGCAGCTAACCTTTGGGCCGTGCCTTCCAGGAACTTCCCAGAGGGGACCGCTGGAGGTTCAGCCATAGATGCAAGCCTTGAGGTTGCTGAAATTCCACTCCCGTTCGGAAATCACTCAAGAGAAGCAGAGTTTGGAATAGAGTTCGATCTTTTCACTCTTCTCTTGGGTGTATTTATAAGTGAATAAACCGTCATCACAGATCCCCAACAATCCATGTATATAGGGTCAATGTGTGTACAGGCGGCCAGTCCCATCAGTAGGCCTTACCGAACAACGATGGTGTTCCTACGGGTTTTACACCACAAAACCCGGTCGAACGGAAGGCGACCCCGTGTGGATTCTCTTCAATGGCCACCCCATTCCTCCAGGTGTGGATCCGGGCTTGGCCGCCGCCCGCGCGGCCTTGTTGAACGGCGCCTTGGTGGGAACCCGAATCGCCGAACGACCATGGCGGATCAGGTCGATGACGGAGCGGCTGCGGCTTGGGGCGAAGACTGGAGGGGAGGGAGCGACGAAGGCAGAAAGCAGAATAGACATGCACAGATGAACTTGATTGAACTTGAGTACAGTGGCACAGGGCATGCGTGGTTCTTTAAAGATGAAAGATCAAGCCCGACAGAACACTTGCAAACTTCCGGCTATCCACCAGGAGTCACATGGAGTCACATCGTGCTGTGGCGATGGTCCCTTCCTGCTGTGGCCCGTGTTTCATGTGACATCCTCCATGGATGGCACCGAGCTTCGATGGAACTACCGGTATACGTAATTAGATGTTTCGTCTGCTTTGCTTTGACCCTAGGATTCGAACAACCCTTAGTTTTTTACTATGTAGACTCCTTTTTCGGATCATCCCCCCGCCCCATTTGAATTGAAAACACCTCTTCAAGCTTGGGGGGGGTTATGGTCCTCAAAAGAGTCTTGCTTCGAGCATATTCTGTTCGTTTTGAGCCTCTCGAGGTTCTCTTTGCACGGCCAACTTCGATCGATCCATTGGTCGCTGGGCGGAGCTCGATCTCGCGGGCTCCCGGCGAGACGGGAGCGCCGGTCGACCAAGCTACCCAGGAGGGTGTGTGAACAGTGGATGAATGAGCTACCCAGGTCTTGTACAGTATGCAGAACCTTAAAACTGCCACACCCAAATTGCGGAGATGAACATAGAAGGAATTACATGCAAGGAATCCGGATAATTCCTTTTGACAGAAAAACATAAATGAAAACCCAGGTATCACATGGTGTGAGCCACACCATCCCACACCATGTTCACTCTTGGTGTTTCTGTCAGAGAGTACACCCTTTGTTCGGTTCGAGCAAAGACATACACGGACCCACACAATTACCAATTTGTAAATGTTGATTGAGACAGAGATTGCCTCAGCTAATCTCGTTCGACAGCTTGAATGTGGCCTTTGAGAAAGGTGTGTATTGAATCCCAAATATCTCCTGAGACGGTACTTGAGATAGATTTAGAGGGTCTAAGTACCTTCTGAGACGGTATTTGGAGCCCTAGGGTATGTGATGTTGGCAACACTTTCTGACCAAAAAAACGCAAAAATCAAGAACCTGTCCCATCAAAAACCACCTGGCAGCCGCCGCGTGGAGCGATTTTGCCTGTCTTTCGACCTGGCATCGCTCCTGGCGGACACTGGATGGTGGAACGCGTCTGTTCCGGTTTGGGTCTGTCCTATTAGTTACAAATAGTTACAAGAGTCAATAAACAATTATATAACAGAAGGGGTGGTGATAGGCCTATATATCAGTATAGAGGCCTATCACTAAACAGTAGAGGCGTATATCAATAAACAGTTTATTTTAGAGAAAGGCCGCTACAAATTACATCATCATCCACTGAGGCTCTGGTAATAGGATAGACCCTAGTTCCGGTTGTTTCTAAGGCAAGACCATCTCCTCCACGATGATTTGCCGTGGCGTTCAACAGTGCATGGCTTTGTCGCCGGTGATCACCAAACGCATGGACCATGCGGATGAGCAGCTCGAAGTGGTTTCTGAAAGGGTGTTTACTGAAAGAAGAAATTGGGAGCACTACCTGATCCACCTGCAGTGCGTTGAATTTCCTGCTTCAGAGTCCTTTCGCCAGTAAAGTGTCAATTACTTAAAGCGTTCCTGGACGCGGTTGGACATGAATTCTCCTGAATTAGTGATAAGTCTGACTCCTCTAGGCTAAGAGTGAGCTCTTGAAAGCTAATCACGTGTCCTCCTTCTTTTACACCCCTGGTTTCTTTGAGATGGCCCAGTCTTTTGCTTTCTTCCCTGTTCTTCATTGGATGGAAAAAACGGATGGATACGCTATAGATACGCGTACACCAGGTGGGTGGACTATTGCCCCGGCAGCGTGACGATCACCAGCTTCCAGGACCGGACGTGACCGTTGTTCAGTCCATGCGGACGCGGTTTCCTTCGCGGATGAAGCGACGCACTAAACCACGGCCTGGTTACCTTAACCACGAGAGGTGTCCATTATCACTACTAGAGGTGTCCATCCGGATGGGTTTGAGGATTGAGCCGGATTTTCGTCGGATGTGACAGCCATCTACGATCATCTACGGTTGTAGCTTCGAACGTGACGTTCGTAGTGCGATGGCCTTTTATCAAGCATGCGTATCGTCCGAACATGACTAGTAGATTTACATACTCAGTCTGGAGATGATTGACCAGTCACAATGAGATGTGTTGAAACAGCCTGGGGATGAGAATGCTGGTTTGCCAGGATCCCAAGTGCACATCTCCCACAGTGACGATGTTGGAGAATACATCGAGAGCCACCGGGATGAAGGAGCTGTGGAGTGTTGATGCTGGAATAGATACATTGCAACTGAGCAACTGTTTATCATGCATGGTGTACCGGGGCAGTACGGGGACATCCACTGTTGTGTTTGTTGTCCACTTGCAGTCTGGATTGAATGTGGGCCTCCTGCATGCGTTTGTTTGAGTGTGGGGATGCCCAAAAGCAGTCGTTCAGCCAAACTACAGGAACCATTCACTGGTTCCAGTGAAACTGAAACTGGTGAAACTGCGCCAAACTGTCGCATCAGATGAAGAACAGACTCCAAACGAAGTCGGTAAGGTATACCATGGACCCAGTCGGAGCGATCTAAGTGGAAAAAACGCTCACCGAGCGATGAAAAAAGTGACATCCACAAGTGCAAACGATGAGAGGAGCGTTTCATGTTCCACTTGGTGAGGTCCAGTTGCTGGTGGATCATCAAGTCAAAGGCACCGCAGTGGCGCGCGGTGGTGGTGGATGACACATGAGCGTGGTTCAGAGAAGACGCTCCCAGAGTAACATGAACCCCTGAAGACAGCTATGATATGGCTATATTGGTTTGGACATGTTAGTCTTTTGCTGTGAGCCAGCTGATTCTGATTCACGGCTCCCAACCACCGCAACTGATCGGCAGTCGCATGGAGCATATGGCATATGGCCTAGGGCCTAGATGTTTGTCCCAGTCACAGGCCGTAAACGATGATCAATGATCACTATTTGGGAAAAAATCCCTGCAACTGAAAGGTCATCATCCACTGTTACTTACTGGCAATAGACCCCAAATATGTCCTACATGACCTGGTTTATTTTGGCGCGTGGGACGGTCATTTTGGCGCCACCATAGAGAAGAAAGGGCCATCGCTCTTCGAAACGCTGGACCGTTTGCCAGTCGGGTGGCGAGAGAAAGCAGATGAAGTATATCCCAGACGCTCCATGGGACTACCATATATGCCGATCAATTGGGGTGGTGCCAGGGGGGTCAATGGGGCGGCAGTCCTATGGCAGTCCCATGGAGTGTATGGGCATTATAGATGAAGTATTGATAAATCCATCTCTAGCTGGCCAGGTCTTGAAATCACACCGAGGATTCCTCCTCACCTCCTGACATGTACCTTGGGAACTGGAGTTCCAGGAGATACGCCCCTCCTCAAGGTGTGTCTTTGGACATGGGGACGGTGTCTCAAAAATCGGGATGTTTGATGTTACAATCGACAACTTATTGACATGTGACATCGCGATTGACATGCATTTTTCACGTATAGCGGGATTTGCTAAGTGGGTCACCATTCTCACGATCTCACTGGTTGCCGCACCCCGGTCACTTCGGTCAGCTGCTCAGACCGACCGGTCGACCGGTCGGATGAAGCGGGTTTGGTTGAGTCCGGAGCGCGTTCAGGCTTGGATTTGGAGAGCCAGCAGTGTCAAGCCTCTGCAGAGATCGTGGAGAGCCTCCAAAGCTTCTCCAAGGAGAGACGAATGCAGATGAGACCGGGCAGATACCCGGAAAAACGGAGATCAATTGACCCCCAATGGAGATGGATTGGACTATGGAAGGAAGACAAAGGAAGCGCTTAGTTTTCTGTTATCCCTACAACAAGCTCCTATCAGAATGGTCCGTCAATCAGGTGATGTCAGGCGAGTTTGCAAAAACGCTTCACGAGCCGCCAGACTGTCGGTCGAGTGGAGCGGAGCCGACCGGTTCGCCGGTTGGAAGACACACAGTATGTTTCTCTTGTCAGAGGGGGAAGTCCGAAATTTGTCATGGTTGGTTGCGAATTTCCGCAGAATCTGTGGGAATGTGTGCAGTGCTGTGTGCAGGTGTGGATGTTCAGGATGTTCTGAACTAAGTGTCAGAGTTTGGAGCTCTGTCTGACCTAAGTGTCAGAGATTCAGATTCCGGAGTTCCTTTGGGATGGCAGGAAGGTGTAGAGGATTGTTTCTTGGTGGAACAACCCATGGAGCCAACGAACCGATCGATGCCAGCGAGCACCACACACACGCCATCCACGAGCGCCATCGAGCGCCAGCGGTCCTTGGATCGGATCTCTTGGCGGTCCTTGGATCGGCAAGGGATAAGTATATCATGCCGACTCCGGGTATCAATACGTCCTATATAGTATAAATATATAAATAAGCTTGTACCTTAATAATAAAATAAATATATATATATCACCCCTCCTAACTAAATGGTTAATGGGGGGGGGTACGTGGTGGCTAGCCATTTTCCATTAGCCATTTAATTTTGTAGGATTTGTATATGTGTGTATTTATTTTGTTTTTTTTTGCATGCTGATATACAGATCAACTGGCAGGTGTCATCGGTGAGGTCGGAATGAATTTCATGACCATACCATTCCACATTCATCGCCAGTGGTTGGATGTGGTTGGATGTGTTGATAGATGTTGGTATGTTGGTATATGTTGACTTAAAATTATCACATGACGATTGAAAACATATGAACACATACTGTATTTTTAAGAATGGTGCCTGGTCCGCGCACCACAGCCATTTGTTTTTGTTCCAGCAACATCCAGTCCGTAGTCTTTTGTCATCGGTGAAGCCGGTCACTGCCCCAGCAGATCTTCGATGATGATTGGTAGGGCATGATGGTACGTGCTTTTTCATGAAGATGTTGAAGGTGAAGGTGTTTGAAGGTTATTGAACCTTGAGTGAAGATGAGGCAGGCAGGTGCAAGTAGGTGTTGGCCATTGAAGCTAGCAGCTAGAGTTTGCAATATGTTGCAGTATCTTGCAGCGCACTAACCTGACTGAATTGCAGCAATGTTGTTGTCTCAAGTGATGCTGAGATTTGCTGATATGTATGTCAGCTTACTTCAACACACTTTAACTAGAGCTTCATAACAACTATGCAGAACTACTTGTAGCTAGATATAGTTTTGCATATCTTTGCACCAGCTTGTATCAGAATATTTTAGGATACCTTAGGACACCATATGTATCAACGAATGTCACCTAATTTCTCCAAACAACATCAAGTTTCAATATATGTGGTTTGATGTGACTTGATGTGACTTGTAAATTTGCATGATTTGCACCATGTACGTTGTGCTTGACTTTGATGTGCCGGGGGGTGTTTAATGGCTAGCCAATTTCAACGGGGGGGTTGCGGATTCAGCAAATCAGCAGATTACATGTGGAAAGTATGGATTCATGCCGGCTGCACATCCGGAATTTCCTTGGCGCTCAATAAAGACACATGGGTGGAATATGCTGAGTGGGTGCAATATGGTGCAGGCAGAAAAGTTTTTATGCTTTTGTTGAATGGTTTCTTGTGCTCATGCATTTTCACACGTTTTCGCTGGCTACTTTGAGCTTGTAGTACCGCAGTGTTTTATTTGGATCACGTTTTGCTTTTAAGCTGTTTGGTGCTTTAAGGGATTGGTCTTCTTGGTCTTTGCCAAGAAACATCGTATAACGTAGTCTGTCATAGTCAAAGCATATCAATATCACAATTTTTTGCGCCATGATGCCGGTGATGTGTTCCTTTCTGCTTGATGATTGTTCAGTACTTTCTTCACCCTGTGCATTGGTGTTCTCCGCTGCTCCTTGTTGCTGCAAGATGTTTCAAAAACACTGAAACGTTTAGAAGCATGATTGGGAATGTACTGAAAAGCAATAAAAACAAACATGTAGCACTTATGTGACAAAAATCCCGCTGTGTCATAGTTTGTTCAAGAATTTGCTACATGACGTCCTGCGACTGCCTTTATGTTGCTGTGGCGGTCCTTATGTTCCTATAGCGACACATCGTTTTAACATGCTTCAATTGTTTTCAACCATTTTCAACTGCACCATACAGCCTCACTAATGCTCAAAGATGTCCACACGTCCGCGAGATCACCCGTGAGTACGTGTGCCTTTGGAAGACATTCTATCCAGTGTCTTTCGCAAAACACCAGACCTTCAATTTTCAACACCTAGTTTGGCAAAAGCTTTCAAAAGTAGGTGTTGTCCATTGAAGCTGGTGATGTTGTGGCTGGAATTTGTTTTCGGCAATTGGGGCATGTCGTTCATGGTCTTTCACGCTGGCCAATCCAACGACCTCACAAGGTCAAGAAAATGCCCTAGCTGCCCTAGAAGCATGGGTGAGAAACGGGCGAATCATTCAACCTTAGTCATGAAAGGCAGCTGCTGCTTTGTTCTCTTTTGCTTTATGTTGTCAGCACTGTGGACATGATATGACATAATCTCACCACCCTTTAAGGGGGGTTAATGGCTACCGATTCATGCAAGTTTCCTGTGGAAAGCATCGATTCATGCTGGTTGCACACCCGGAACTTTCTTGGCGCTGAAAAAAGACGCCTGGCTGGAATGCGCTGGGTGGGTGCAATCTGGCGCTGGCAGATTTTTTTCATGCTTTTGTTGAACGGTTTCTTGTGCTCTTGCATGTTCATATGTCTTCACTTGCCACTTTATGCTTGTAGTACCGCAGTGCATTATCTTGCTCTTTATCTTGCTCACGTTTTGATGTTTAATTTCTTTGATGCTTTTGGGGCATTTAACTGCATTGGTCTTCTTGGTCTTTGCCAAGACACGTAGCGCATCGTAGTCTGTCATAGTCAAAGAAAGCGTATTAATATCACAATTTTGCGCGATGATCAAGCAGTATTGGGGCTCATCTTAGTTGAGCCGGTGATGTGTTCCTTTCTGCTTGGTTGTTGTTCAGTACTTTCTTCACCCTGTGCATTGGTGTTCGACGTTGCTCCGTGTTGCTGCAAGATGTTTCAAGAACATTGAAACGCTTAGAAGCATGATCGAGAATGGTGCGAAAAGTTTAAAAACAATAACATGTAACACTTATGTAACAAAAACCGAGCTGTGTCAAAGTTTGGCCAGGCATTTGCTACATGATGCGGCTGTCTTTATGTTGCTGTGGCGGTCCTTATGTTCCTATAGCGACACATCGTTTTAACATGCTTCAATTTTGTTCAGCCATTTTCCACTGCACCATACTGCGTCAATAATGCTCAAAGATGTGGACAGGTCCATGAGATCACCAGTGAGTACGGTGTGCTTTTGGATCGCATTCTATCCAGTGCACTGGAAAGCAAGAAATGTCGCGAAATCCAGAAGGATGCTTGCTTGCCTGCATTTGCACGCAAAAAGATTTACGTAGAAACATCCTGATATGTGTGCGCATGTATGCACACACACACATGTGCACATACAGGCACGCATGGACCTACCTTCGTGCGCAAGGGGTTGAGGGGTAGTGCAATCTTTTGCAAAACACCAGACCTTCAATTTTCAACACCTAGTTTGGCAAAAGCTTTCAAAAGTAGGTGTTGTCCATTGAAGCTGGTGATGTTGGGGCTGGAATTTGTTTTCAGCAAATGGAGCACGTTTTTCATGGTCTTTCACGCTGGCCAATCCAACGACCTCACAAGGTCAAGAAAATGCCCTAGCTGCCCTAGAAGCATGGGTGAGAAACGGGCGAATCATGCAACCTTAGTCATGAAAGGCAACTGCTGTTTTGTTCTCTTTTGCTTTATAGTTTCAGCACTGTGGACAAGATACGAGAAATTTTTCATGGTGGTTAGAGGTGGCTAGCGTCTTTTTCAAGCACAGTTTGCGAATGACTGCGTATGAGCGCGTGTAACTAAATTACGGTATACTCTTGCGTGTAAGGTGGTGAAGCATGAAATGATATATGACATAGTATGATATAGTGCGGTGTGTGAAAGTATCCGAAATTGGATCACCCCGTGAAATTTCTTTGTTGCCCCGAGAGTGCGTGATAATATTATACAATAGTGCATGGTTAAGCGCCAGTTGGCTCAATCCCGCTCTTGAAAAAACACTGGGGCTCATTGGTGGCTGTGGCTGAAGCCAAAGGAGCAGATATTCAAGACAAGATGCGCAAAGAGTTGCTTCAGCCTCGTGGTCACCGGTGAACCAACCGCCCATCCTGACCAGGGCTGCCAGAATTCTGCTGATTGCCTTGGAGCTGTCCTCAAAATGCCTGGCATGGAGAGACTTCCCAAACTTGAGTCCTGAGCTTATGAAGATTGCTTCCCGCCTTGCTTTGCAAGCCATATCGAGTCATCTGCCCTGTTCTAGAAGATTGTTACTTTTGAGCAATCTTCAACATTATGTTTTGCCCTTGTACGTCTTTGTATGTGTTATCTTTCCTGTGCAGCTCAGCAGATTTCAATAAAATTCAGTGCCATTCATGACGTCACTGGTGACGAATGCTTGGAAGCCTTCTTGAGGGCAGGAGATGAAACCCTGGTCATGGGCAAACAGGAGGGCAAACCAGTGCGAAGGTCAGGATACGATTCTGTAGGCCTTACTCCTGACCGCAGGGTTTCTTGGGCGTACGACTGTACTCATCGGTGAGCAGTCCTGCAAGTACTTCTGCGAGAGCGCGACGGTCTACCTTTCAGCTGTGGGGCGCTTGTTCTTGTGTTGCTTGGTAATGTTTCATGATGTTCCGCATAGTTTTG